ACTTATTTCTATTCCTCTGCTCAATTTTTCTTTATACTATTTTAAGCAGTTTAGTTTGATAATTTTCAGTTACGATTGTATTAATAACGATAAGCAAAAATTTGCTGCGGTATATAGATTATACAAATCAAAAACTTCCCGTTATGCAGGAGTGCGTCATAATTGCCCCCAATTCCCCAACGTTACATTTGATTGTTTATCAATGACAAATTCCCACTCCCACACACAAAGCATTTCTTTTTTTCAAATAAAAAGTATAAAAGTGCTCTGATTTCTATCAAAAAAAAACGTGTTGTTTATGTAGTTCCATTATTTTTTTTTTCTATTTTTATAAATAATTACGTGGCTTCATATGTCTTCTATTTTTGACGATTGTTTTATTACACTTGCTGGTGTGTTTACTATAGGTAACCATACGCACCTCACTTCCATTATTAATAAGCATGGCGGAAAAGTTGCTCAAAATTTATCCAAAAAATCTACTCATTTAATAATCAATGAAGACGACTATAAAAGGGGTAATTCTAAGGTCTTCCTTGCTAAAAATAAATTTGCCGATCGAGTATCAATTGTGACTTGGAAATGGGTTGAAGATTCTATTGAAAAAAATGTAAAATTGGATGTATCAGATTATGTTCTATCAGATGATACTGAGGATATTGATATGGAAAACGCGGATCAGAACTCTACTGCAACTGGAAAACGTAATAAGGATGATGACGGAAATGATCAAGTTGATGATGTCAGGCCTTCGCGAAAACGTAGACGCACCGCTAAAAATGATAATGATATTCAGAATTCAACCACAGTTGATACTACAACAACTGCTATCTCTACGACCTCGATAATTACGACTACAGCTGGGACTTCTTCGAAAAAGAGAAAAGGGAATATAACTGATAAAACTACTAAAGGTTCTATTAATAATCAAGATCAGGGTAATAGCGATCAGAGTGACAAAGTTGCGGCTACACAAATTGTCGAGGAGAAAAGGATGGTTAAAGTTGTGATTAAGGGTCAAGCACCTGTTGATGAAAAATTCTTTATGAAGAATTCTGTACACGTTTATTCTGATGATGAAGCTATTTGGGATGCCCTTCTTAACTTAACTAATATTGGTAATAACAACAATAAATTTTTTGTAATTCAACTTTTACAAACCGATTCTCTTGATGATTACTACGTGTTTTGCAGATGGGGAAGAGTAGGATATGGTTCTAAAGGTCAATCAACTACTTATGGTCCAACAGTATTGGGTAGTGCAAAATTTGAATTCTCAAAAAAATTTAAAGAAAAAACTGGTAATGATTGGTCTACCGTATGCCAGGACATCTCTAATTTTGTTCCAAAGAATAGTAAATATACTTTTTTGAGACGCGACTATGCCTCTGATGATGAGGATAAAAACGACGATGGACAAAATAAAAAGAAAGCTAAGAATAAAGAAAAGGAAGAACCTATACCTATTTCAGAATCTAATCTTCATCCAAAAGTTCAAGATATCATGAAAATGATATTTGGTCAGTTTCAAAGTCAAATTATATTAATATAGTAGGTTATTTGTCACTAATTTATTAAATTTTCTAAATATAGACGTTAATCAATGGAAAGAGTCAATGAAAGAATTAGAATATGGTAAGTATCAATTATAAATCAATATTTTAATTTAAATTCTTAATGAACACTTTCCTATCTCAATATTTTAGATGCTGCAAAATTACCTTTGGGTAAAATTGCAAAAAGTACCATTAACCAAGGATACAGTGTACTTAAACGAATAGAAGCCGTGTTTATGGGAAATTCTACCGAAAGTCTGGAGGAATTGTCTAATGAATTTTACACTGTAATTCCACACTCATTTGGCATGCGAAAACCACCTATCATTAATAACATAAATGTACTCAAAACTAAATTGGATATGGTTGAAACCTTGGGAGAAATTGAAATCGCTTCTACTTTGATAAAAGGAAGTGATGAAACCATCAATCCATTGGATGCTCATTACAAATCGCTTAAATTAGGAAGAATGGAGCCTTTGGATCATAATTCTAAAGATTTCAAAATGGTGGTCGATTATGTTAAGAATACACATGGAGCTACACATAATTACTTTAAACTTGAAGTTCTGGAAGTGTTTGATTTGGAACGTCAAGGTGAAAGAGAAAGATTCGAGCCATATTCCAAATTGCAAAACCGAGCTTTATTATGGCACGGAAGCCGTAAAACTAATTTTGCTGGCATCTTAAGCCAAGGATTACGCATTGCGCCTCCGAGTGCTCCTGTAACCGGTTATATGTTTGGGAAAGGAGTTTATTTCGCAGATTCCGTATCAAAATCTGCTCAATACGTTCATAATACTAGCAATGATAACATTGGCCTCATGCTTCTCAACGAAGTTGCTTTGGGAAATATGCTTGAGTTAAACTCCGCTGACTATGATGCAGGAATAAAAGCAAAGAACGCAAAATTTCATTCTGTTAAGGGTTGTGGAAAGAATGTTCCCGATATGAATAGTTTCATTAAGCTGAATAATGGCTGCATTGTACCAAGCGGAAAATTACAAGAAAAACATCGTGATAAATTTCTTTTTTACAATGAATATATTGTCTACGATGAAGCTCAAATTATGCAGAAATTTTTGATCAAGATGAAGTTTCGTTAATTGATTATTATTTAATTTTACAAATCCAATATGATTATAATAAATCTTTGGAATTGCCATAGGCGATAATATTTGGTTTAACTATTAATTTTTTAGAAAGACCACAAAATGTTTTAATTTTGACAATCACGTGAATTTGTTGCAAGATTCATATCACGTTATTTATAATTGACCAATAAAAAACGAAAAAACTTATTGTGCATATCCGTTTTTAGTAATTCCGTATCATAATTCCGTGTCAAATTCGTTAAAAATATGATATATTTTGTAAGTTGTGATACCAATTAATATTTTATATTTAAATTATGAGTCTAGGAACAGATTTATGTAATACATGCCAACATTTTTAGAATGGCTTACATTATAATTCCATAAGGAAGAAGTAATAAAAGATTTACTAACAAAATACAAAGAATAGCTAGCTATGGTTAAGTTAGAAAAAAATTATTATAATCAAAATACAAAATTAGCAACAGAAAAAAGAAAATTTGTAAATGAAAATTATCTTATAATGGGAAATGAAGTTGATTATTATAGTGTTAATACTACTGTTCACTACAGTTATAATTGAGTACAAATTATTCATGTTTCACATTCAAATCAACAGGTAAGTAAAATTTATTATTTCAATTCATGCAAAATACATTTATTTGGTATTTAAGTTGAAGCAATACATAAACAAATTAATACATTCTTGATGAAAATAAATAATAGATAAAGACTCTAATTACATATTAAGTATAATTTTTAATAGAATGAAGAAATTAAATAAAGTTGAAAAACATTTAAAAATTCTTGTGATTAAGATTACTAGGTAAAACCTAGAGGTTTTGTAAGTTATCTAAATGATAAAAAGTAAAATTTAGCAAAAATATATTAAATCTTATTAAAAAATCTGCAAAATTTTAGAAAAGGTAAAACTATATTAAAGCTTACAAAAATGCAAAACTATATCAAAATCTTAATAAAAATTAATAAAATTAATGTTTAAATATTTTGCTAAATCTAAAATGAGTTTAGATAAGTAAACTTTCTTATGATAATACAGGTAATCAAAATAAAAATAATGCTATTATTTGATTTTACCTACTATATATTTGGTGATTTATAATTATTATAAAAGCATTGAGTTAATCTTTATGATATCTGAATATATTAAATTCAAATATAATAATAGTTTTAAATTAATTAAAAAGCTTTATCAAAATATAACAGTAGATTGTATAAATCATATAGCTTTCATACTATAATCATCAAACTTATATTTTATAAATGTATGACATTTTATAAATTCAATAATTTTAATTTTATTTGTCTAAAAATTAATTCTCATGATCTTCATTAATATTTTTTTCAGTAAAAATCTTCTTCTTAGTGTTTTATTAAATTTCTTCTTCATTTTTCATTATTTTTTTCATTCTGTTTTCTAAATTTAATTTTTTAATATTTTTCTTCCTCTTTATTATTTCTGTATTCTTTAAATTTTATTTTTTCATTTTCCTTTTTTTAGTTCTTTTCAGATATTTTTTTCTCTATTTTAATAATTATTCCTTTTTTTCATTATCATTTTCTTTATTCTAATTCTTTATTATGTTTTTTTATTAGTTATTTTTTTTTATTCTATTTTTTTATTCTTTTGTTTTGTTTCAAAATATTATTTTTTTCTATCATGTATTATTGTTGTTATCAATTATATATTATGTGTTATTGTTATTATCAAATATAAAGCATTAAATAAATTATATCTTTTTACTATTAATTCATATTATAATATTATTCCTTTTGCTAAAACATTTTTATATTCTATAAATAAATAAATTTTAGTATCATATAAATTAAATAATAAGTATATTATTTTAATATTTTATTTCTTATTTATTATGTTATAATCAATTCTTTGAGATGCTTATGAGTGAAAAACGAAGCAATATTTATAGATAATAAGCAGAAGGTTTATTTGGTAATTAGATTTAGAAGAGTGTCGATCAATTAACAGTTATTTAATAACTATAATAATAAAGTACTGCCTCAGTCGACACTCTGTATTTTACAAATATGTTAAGGGAATTAAACTACAGTCAAAGCTCGTTATAGTAAACCCTTAGTTTCAGTCATTTTTATTTACTATAACGAATATTTACAATAGCGAGAAATCTCTTTATAGTAAACTTAATATAAAAATAAAAAAAATTTCTTATAACGAATGTT